CTGCGACTTAGGCTTGGATTAGAAGATAGTGTTGTTTAAGTCTTCTATAGTCCTATTGATTTTTTTTCTACTGGTTCTATCAGTTACTAGAAGAGAAATGCTGAAATCTCCAACTATAATTGTGAATTTGTCCATTTTTCTTTTGTCCACATTTGTTTATTGAAACCGAATCTTGAAGCTCTGTTACTAGGTGAACATATACACATTTAGGAGAGTTTTTCTTCATCCATCGATCCTTTTACCTTTATGAAGTTTTCTTTTGGTCTCTAGCAATACTCCTTTACCTTAAAATCTGTTTGGTTTGACACTAATATGAGCATTCCAGCAATGGTTCTTGTTTACAGGAGAATATTTTCCATTTATAGGTTTAACCTATAGGAAACCATAAATAGGTTTCCATTTATAGGTTTGAAGTCCAATTCATAAATTTTTTAATTTGTGGTTTATGATTATATCTTATCCAAAAATCTTAACTGGGTTCTTGGTTTTCTTAATGAGTTATAAGAGTTCTTTATGCTACATATATTTATATATACATATGTACATGTACATATATATATATATATTCTTTGTCAGAGAGATGTTCTGCAAATATTTTTTGCCATTCTGTAGCTTTCTTTTTCATTTTAACAGTATTTTTTTGCAAGTAAAAGTTTTGTCTTCATATTTAAATTGCACAAATTACTAAATAACATATAATTGGGTTTTGTTTTTATATTCAATCTGAAAATATTAATCTCTTTCTATGATCTGGAGTTTTTAGACCACACTGAGCTAATGAATCGTTTGTATGGTTAGGTTAGTTTACCGTCTCGCTGTTTTCTATTTTTCCCACTTGCTTTGTTGTTCTAGTTTTCTTTTTCCGCTTTTCCTGCCTTTTCTCAGACTAAAATTTTTTCATAATTCCATATTATCTGCACTATTCTTTATTAGGTCGACAATGTTTTTCTTTTTTAAGTGATTGCTTTAGGATTTATAATATGTGTACATGTTTAAATTATCACAATCTGCTTTTAATTAGAATTATTTTAATTTATATATAATATATAAATTCAAAAATATAATTTCATTTTCTCCTCTCATTCCTTGTGTTACAATTTTCTTACAATTTACATCTACATATGTTTAAAAACACAATATAGTACTATCTTTTTTTTCAGATGCAATGAATCCTATGGTAAGTGTAGATTTAATTTTTTAAGAAACTGCCAAACTGTTATACAAAGTAGATGTAACATTTTGCATTCCCACTGGCAATATATGAGGGTTCCAGTTTCTCTACATCTTTGTCAACACTTTGAATTGTCAGCCTTTCAATTTAGGACATTTTAATGTGTGTACAGCGTATTTTGTATTTTCCTAATGACAAATGATGTTGAGTATTTTTTATGAGCTTGTTAGCCATTTATATACCTTGTTTTATGAAATGTCCAAATCTTTTGCTTATTTCTTAACTGGGTTCTTGGTTTTCTTAATGAGTTATAAGAGTTCTTTATGCTACATATATTTATATATACATATGTACATGTACATATATATATATTCTTTGTCAGAGAGATGTTTTGCAAATATTTTTCCCATTCTGTAGCTTTCTTTTTCATTTTCTTGACAGTATTTTTTTGCAAGTAAAAGTTTTAACTTGGAAGTCCAATTCATAAATTTTTTTATTTGTGGTTTATGATTATGTCTTATCCAAAAATCTTTGCCTAGCCCAAGGTCATAAATATTTTCTCCTACGGTTTCTCCTAAAAAGTTTTATAGTTTTAGTTTCTATGTTGAGGTCTATAATCTATTTTGAATTTTTTTGTGTGTATGGTTTAATGAAAGGACCTAGATTCATTTTCCCCATACAGATATCCAGTTATTTCAGCATAATTTACTCAAAAGACTATCCTTTCTCCATCTAATTTTTACACCATCCTTGAAAATCAATTGACTGTGTGTAATTGTTGTCCTATTTCTGGACTATCATTGCTGTTCCATTAATCTAAATGTCTATTCTTTGTTACTATTGTACTGCCTTGATTACTATAGCTTTATAAACCTTGAAATCAGATGGTGTAAATCCTCCAGGTTTTTATTTTAAAAATTGTTTAGAGATTCTAGATCCTTTGAATTTCCATGTAAATTATTCAGTAAATTTGTCAATTTTAATTGCGTTCATTTTTGGAAGGCATTTTTACTGGATATGGAAACATAAGTTGACACCTTCTTTGGTCAGCATTTTAGAGAGCTAAACCTATTGTCTTTGAACTTGCATAATTTCTGACAAGCAATCTGATGTGATTTTTCTCTTTGTTTCTCTGGATGCTGTGTCTTTGTTCTCTTGCTATTTTTAAGACTCCCTTTTTAACAGTTTTTCAGCAGCTTGATTCCAATGAAACTTGGCAAGGTTTTATTTATGCTTATTTTACTTGGACTTTATTTTGCCTTTTCTATCTGTGAATTTACAGTTTTTTAAATCAAAATTTGGGAAAATTTTGGCCATTTCTTTTTAAAATATTTATTCTGTTTCTTTCCTTCTTCTGGAATTGCAATTGTACATACATTAAGACACTTGATATTTTCTCATGGGTCAAGAGAGATGAATCTTTTTCAGTCTTTATTTCTCTGTGCTGCATTTTGGATACTTTTATCACTATGTCTTTATGTGCCATGATACTGCCTTCCATGGTGTCTAAGTATGCTGTTTATCCCATGCAGCAAATTTTTCATTTAAAAAATTGTTTCATTTTTGTCATTAGTATTTCCATTTGGGTCTTTTTTATGTTTTCCATTTCTGTCCTCATTTTATTCAAGGTTTTATATATATATATATGATGCTCTATATATATTCAGATGCATATATACCAGATAAATAAATATGTGTATATATATCCCATATATATATTTGGTGTGTGTGTATATATATATAGCTCTATATATGGCGATATATAGAGCTATATATAGAGCATCATATACAGATACATATTTTTACATATAGATGTAAAATAAAACATGATAAAACAATAAAACAAATAAAGTATTAACAGACAAGAACTTTAAAATAGCACAAATCACGTATGATTTTTGCCATATTTTTAACTTTGGGTTTATTCTATTGACTGACTTTTCTTCAGCACATGTTTCTCATTTTCCTGCTTCTTCACATATGCAAGATTTTTTTTACTGGATGTTGTACATTGTAGTTTTACATTTTAGGGTGCTGCATTTTGTTATATCTTTTAGTGTGGATCTAGATTACCTTTACTGCAGTCCTCTTTTAGCCTCACTTTTAAGGTGAGGTTCTTCTAGGTTTCTGCTACATGCATCATATATTCATGAAGGTCTCTTCACTTTGGCTTGTGGGAATTCAGATGATTCCCAGACCTTTGTAAGCTCCAGGGATTGTTCAGTTTACAGCTCCTTCATAGTTGTTTCTCTCTGTGAAATTGCTCACATCCAATGATGTCTTTGTAGACTGACATTCAACCAAAGACTCAATGGAACTCCTATGAAGCTTCCCGGAACAGTTTTCCTGGGTAACTTCTTCCTTCTCGATAATCTGCTCCACAAATCCTAACTGCCTTACCTTCCCCAGATGCCTATTTCTCTCTCCTCAACTCACTGACATCGCCAAACTTTGTTTGGATTTATCTTCCTGTGCATGCTGCAATGGAAATTAACTCCAGGTAGAAAGTCTGGGCAAAGGTATGGCTCAATTCATTTGTTTCTCTTTCTTCAAGGATCACCGTCTCATGCTACCTACTATCAAGTATCATAAAACAGTTATTTCCTCAACTTTATCTAGCTTTCTGGTTGTTTATGGATGAAGGGTGATTATGTATCCCCATTATTTCCCGTGGCCAAACTCTGACATAATTTAGAATGGAGTTTCATTTTAGAAAATCCTGTCATAGGCATGGACAAAGACTTCATGACTAAAACACAAAAAGCAATGGCAAGAAAAGCCAAATTGACAAGTGAGATCTAACTAAACTAAAGGGCTTCTGCACAGCAAAAGAAACTATCATCAGAGTGAACAGGCAACCTACAGAATGGGAGAAAATTTTTGCAATCTATCCATCTGACAAAGGGTTGACATCCAGAATCTACAAGGAACTTAAACAAATTTACAAGAAAAAAACAACCCCATCAAAAAGTGGACAAAAGATATGAACAGACACTTCTCAAAAGAAGACATTTATGTGGCCAACAAATGTATGAAAAAAAGTCATCGTCACTGCTCATTAGAGAAATGCAAATCAAAACGACAATGAGATAGCATCTCATGCAAGTTAGAATGGCAATCATTAAAAAGTCAGGAAACAACAGATGCTGGAGAGGATGTGGAGAAATAGGAATGCTTTTACACTATTGGTGGGAGTGTAAATTAGTTTAACCACTGTGGAAGACAGTGTGGTGGCTCCTCAAGGATCTAGAACCAGAAATACCATTTGACCCAGCAGTCCCATTACTGGGTATATACCCAAAGGATTATAAATCATTCTACTATAAAGACACATGCACACGTGTGTTTATTGCAGCACTATTCACAATATCAAAGACTTGGAACCAACCCAAATGCCCATATGTGGTACATATACACCATGGAATACTATGCAGCCATAAGAAACGATGATATCATGTCCTTTGTAGGGATACGGATGAAGCTGGAAACCATCATTGTCAGCAAACTAACACAGGAACAGAAAACCAAACACCACATGTTCTCACTCATAAGTGGGAGTTGAACAATGAGAACACATGGACATAGGGAGAGGAACATCACATACCAGGGCCTGTTGGGGGGTAGGGGGCTGGGGAAGGATAGCATTTGGAGAAATACCTAATGTAGATGATTGGTTGATGGGCACAGCAAACCACCATGGCACGTGTATACCTATGTAACAAACCTGCATGTTCTGCACGTGTATCCCAGAACTTAAAGTATAATACAAAAAAAAGAAAATCCTGTCATACTTTTGAAATACAGAAATAAAATTGAAATGTACCTTCTGCTGTAAAAAAATCATAAAAAGCATTTATTATTTGATCTCATATTCTCTGGAGTCCAATTCCTTGTACTAGCCAGAAAAATGAACAAAATTGACCAAGTAAAATTATAATAACTGAGGTTGTTTTGATTTTAAAATATTTAGGGGAGGAAATCAGTCAATATAAATTAGTCACAACTGTTTCTCCACCACTACAGAGTCTCTCCTAACTCTCTTTCCTCTATAACTGACATTGGGGTCCCACTCAGCATGGTAGCAAAGAGAGAGACCTTTGGTCCATGTGCTGTCTTTTGCTGGGATTTTCCCTTCCTTCTCTCATCTTGGATATCCTACACCAGTGCCTTCTGAGGTTTGCCTAGTCTGGTCCTGTCCTATGTTTTTGAGGTGTCATCCATGGATGCCTCTGGATCTTGTCATGCTACCTAGTTCTAAAGTCCCTATAGTGGATTTTGTCTGCTTTACTGATTATCTAAATCTGTGACCCTTGTGGGTGACCCTGCAGCCACCAGCTGATTTTCCTCACCATGACACAGATTGCAGAATTATTTCTAGTGGCCTTGAAACATTTCCTCAGGCATTCCTCTTCTGCCTAGGGGCTACATAGTACCAACACCATTCTAAATACAGGGCTTTGCTAAAGAGTTTACCATATTCCCCCTTCTCTCTCCCAAAGGCACTAGTACCCAATAGATGAGTCAAGTCACTCATACCTATAACTCTCCCATTCTTTTTCTCCAGTTTCTAAATTCTACTTCTCTTAGTGAAAGGGAATTCTCCTTTCTTGTCATAAAGAAACTTCCCCTGCAATATAGTCTCTGTTCTCTTTATGCTTTAGCGTCATGTAAATACAATGCTCTAAGACTTGAAAGGACCAAGCCCACACTTTTGAATGTAAAGGGAAATATGGGAGATTTATAAAACACTTCTGTTCTTTAACAAAGAGTGGCTTTATGACTAGAGTCTTGCAATCGATTAAAAAAATGTCAGCCTGGGGACTCAGAGAAGAATAAAAGACCTGTTTGTTCTGTATCTGCCCTTACCCTGAATCAATACATGCCATTCACCAGGTGATTGACTGATTCAACAAATCAGGCAGCCACTACACACCTAAGGACTAAGGAACAAAAAATAAAGAAAACACTGATTTAATACCTGAAAAATATTATTTTTTTACCTTTTCTATAGTAAATCTTTGCATGAGGATTGACTTCCATCATATCCTTCTCTTTTCTCCTACCATCCACATAGCCTAGTTGTAAAAAATAGTAAGATCTAAGATGCATAGATTACGTGAGGTATGTCAGGCACTGCTCTCATTGTTTTAAACTCATTTAATCCCCACAGCAATGCAGTATAGATTATCATTACCTTCATTTTACAGAATGGAAAGCTGAGGCCCAGAGAGATTAAGTAACTTGCTCAAGATCACACAGACACTTTATCTTGGTTAAATTAGTGAATCTTTAATCCTCAGAATTTTCAGCTATAAAGTAAGGATAACAATTTCAATAATATAAATGAGGTAGTCTGTATAGTATTTCAGCAAAAGCTTCCCAGATCCCAATGGGCTGGGTTCAAATTTTATGTTTCTGAGTTACTGTCTTGTAACCCTGGGTTTCCTGACCTCTCTGTACCTCAGTTGCCTCAACTGTAAAGCAGGAAAGATGATAAGTATATTTTCCTCTGAAGACTATTATGGGGATAAAATAAACAAACATAAGACTTGAACCAAAGGTTAGTACACAGCAAGTGATCAATAAATGTTACTGTTTTCAAAGGCCCACTCTACCTTATCAGAAATCCTGGCACCCTAGCTTATCAGAAATCCTGGCGGCAAGGTGAATTTTGGAATTGGGACTCCTTCACATGTTACACATGGGATAGAGTCCACATGGAATTATGGAGTGTTACTCCAGTGAGGTCACAGAAAACACCATGACCAAACATTAAGACGGCTGCCTCAAAATGCACGAATATTCACTCTAAGTGAGAAAAATAAAGACTAAAAACATCCTCTGGCAGTTCTGTTCAGGTTTTGCTACTGAATCAATCATTGCAAAATGTTAGTTTTCAGAGGCTTTTTATTTCAGAATTTCAGATGGGGTATTTTGGGGTGTATTATTTTATATTATGAGAATTAAAGAAGGTGACCTACGTAAGCCAAGCTAAGTACAATGCCTGGCATATAATAAACTCTCTGTAAGTGTGCATTTGCCATTGATTTGGAAATTAATACTATCAGCATTAGTATTAAGCCCATAAAATAGCTACAATTAAAATAGCATCTTCGTAGTTATTCTACATATTCTCAAAGTCATTTCCCCAGATAACTTCCTGTAAAAGTTTTCAGATTTCCTAATTATATCATATTTTTGGCTGGGCATGAAGTTCATCTATCACCTTTATTTCATTTGCCTTCCTTTGTGACCAGTCCCTTATCTGACTCCCCAGCCTTGTCTCTGTGATAGGATCAGTCACAGTCAAGGAAGCAGTACAGTTTCACAGTAAAAAGGAAGAAAGAAAGAATATAATAATGACTGTCATTTATCGCAAATTTGCCCTGGGGTCTGTGCTAGATACTTTCCATAATTCTCTCATTTAATTCTCCCCACTGCTTACTAAAGCAGGTATTATCACTCTGATTTTACAGATTGAGAAACTGAGACACAGAGAGATTAGATGATTTGCCTAAGGACTTTAGGAAGAAGTCCTTGAAATTGTTCGTGTGTTTTTTTGTCCCCTTCTATGATAAAAGATCTTAGTTTATTCACATTTTCTAAAAGATGCACACTGTTCCAAGGTTTAAGAACCACTGAGACTACAGATGCTGTAAAAGTACTTGATATTTGTGCAGACAAATGGGTGCTATTGATTCCCAATTCAGGTGGGATTTATTTACAAGTCTCCCCGTCAGACCTAGGCAGTGTAGCTCCCAGGTCACTCAGCAAAGAGAGGGATTAAAAGACATCCCCAACAATAACACTTCGCCTATCAGAACCACAAGCTGCAGCCTTAACTACTTAGACAACCTTCAGCATTTTCCCCACAACTTCTGTTTCATTCACTCCCTAAATCTCATTGTGTACTCTCTCCATTCTCCTCACCAGATTAAAATCTCCTGTTAAACCAGAGGCCATGTCTAATTCCTCTTTCTATCCATCCCCAAACTACAATGTTTTACACATTGTGACTTCTTCATATGTTTTTGATGAAACAGAAACTAAAGCTGTATCTCAAGGGATATCTCAGACGGGCATTTCAACCTCAATTGTGTCCTTATTACCCACAATAAGGACACAATTGAAAGACTGAAATTCAGCTAAGGCTCTTACCTTTCTCTGAGCTCCCAGAAAGTGAGGACTCTAAGATTTCTTGTCAAATAACTGTAAAAGAAAATTTTAAACAGAATAAGTATTTCGTTAGGTAATATCTGCTTGATTACTCCTATCTACCAGTTTCTGAAATAAAAAAATTTGCTCTGCTTTTCCTCCAGTCCCGATATGTGTGAGGTTTGTTTGTTTATTGATTCATTTATTTACTTTATTTCTTAGAGACAGAGTTTTGCTCTATCACCAAGCTGGGTGATAGTGGTATGATCGTAGACTGTAGTGCAGTGGTGCAATTATAATTCTCTGGGCTGAAGCAATCCTCCTGCCTCAGCCTCCCAAGTAGCTAGGATTATAGGTGTGCATCACCACCCCCGGCTAATTAAAAAAAAAATTATTTTTGTAGAGACGGGGTCTTACTATGTTGACCAGGCTGCATGTGTGAGGTTTAGATGTGTGGAAGTCAGTAGTAGATAGAAACTCTCAAAACCCAAGCCAATTCGAGAATTTTTCTTTTTTTTTTTGAGATGGAGTTTCACTCTTGTTGCCTAGGCTAAACTGCAATGGCGCAATCCTGGCTCACCGCAACCTTCACCTCTTGGGTTCAAGCGATTCTCCTGTCTCAGCCTCCCGAATAGCTGGGATTACAGATATGTACCACCACGCTTGGTTAATTTTGTATTTTTAATAGAGACGGGGCTTCTCCATGTTGATCAGGCTGGTCTCGAACTTCCGACCTCAGGTGATCCGCCGACCTCGGCCTCCCAAAGTGCTGGGATTACAGGCGTGAGCCACGACACCCGGCCGCCAATTTGAGAATTTTTTAAAAATAATAATAATCCACAGACAATCCCCCTCATTTCCGTATTTTCTCATATAGCTTTTCTATGAAGCACACATAAAAATGATAGAATAAAAGCTTAGTTATAATGATATGACTTCATCGCAATCAACTGTGGAACATGGACAATAAAATTATTTAATTTGAGTCTTTCTGTTCTCCACAAATGATCTTTGTCCCTTTTCCTTCAGTAAGGAGTTTGTTTGCATGAAAATATGAGTGTTTATAATACACTGGCAGTATTCTTTTTGCTTTCTTCGAAGACAATAAACACTCAAATTTATGTTTCCTTATTCATTGAAGTATTTGCTGGAATCTCATGTTCACATGGAGAAATGTAGTGGCAGAAGAAAGTAGAGGGCGGGAAAGTTCAGGAATGTGTCTAACTTGTTTTTAATTAGACCACGACTCACAGATCAATGAAAATAGAAATGTTTCAAAAGATAATTTCTATATGACTGAGAAAATGTCAATTGTCTAGATGGAAAAATATTATGAAATCTTGTGGAGTGGCTGTAGGAAGAGGCAGGGCACTAAAAGAGGTCCTCAAGCCTCCCTTTGGCGTTACCACTATTATGTGTTATTTGATGTGTCAAACCATATGACCCCCCATTGAAAAATGTGAATAAATTTTGCATTTTTAGTTAATAAGCATTGAGAAATAGAAGGTGTTTCTTTTTATTTTTCTTTTTTCTGTTTCTTAAGGTGATATCTATTTACCTCACTACATATTCTGGGTACCACAAAGATACCAGAGATTTCAAAATAGAAAATGTACGCCTAGCCTTAACATTGGCCCATAAAACTCCTCAAATTGCATCTTGTCACTCTTTTCCAAGTGAGTCCATCAAAAAGGTAATATCAATTTAATCATATATAGTTTTTGTTTTTATAATGAAATAGTCCCAAAAACCTGAGAAAATTCTTAGTTTTTTTCTTTATCTGAGAACCCATTCTATAATAACAATACACTGGATCTTAGCCAAAAGGCCGAGAAGCGACCTATAGTAATAATAGACACATACTGACATATTTCTTAATTTCTGAATAAAAAGCTGAAACTTGGAATAGTGAAATCAATTTTCTAAAGTTAGTAAAGGACAAACATTTTGGAGAAAAAGAATTTCTTTTCACTTTACAAATAATAAATCCAAACTGAATAAGTTAAAGAATTTTTTAAAAATGTAACGAAGTTTAGTTTCTGTTTCATCTTGTGTGCAGTAAACATTAAACTCTAATATATTCTCTTTAATTTTTTAAAATAGATAAAGCTATCAATGTTAAATATTCAGATTGTTACACACTTCTTGTTTGCATATCAACTTTTAAGTTAAATTTTTATTACATAACTAATAAAAAAGAAGGAGCATTAACAATAAAAAAAAAGTGGCACATTCTAGTTTTCCAGTTGAAAGGAAGAGCACTTCCTTTTCTCATGATAACAGAAGCTCCCTGGATGGCTGACTCACATCTGATTAGAATTTGTTTCTCCCTCCAGCAGAGCAGTTATGTTGCTTCTCCCAGCAGCTGATTGGGTCAGTCTTCCTCAGGGTTCTCAGCTGACCCCAGGTTATTACATTCCCAAGGCTGAAGACTTTCCTTTTTTCCAGTACTTAAACTTCACTTCTCTCTTTAGACACGCAGGCTCCTTCCTCTGAGAGGTAGTATAGAAAGACTGCTGAATTATGGCTCTTTCAAACTGAACACTGATCTGTTCTTTTTCATTCCTGGGAGTAAATGGAGAAAGATATGTTCCTGATGTGAATTTGACCTCTGTTGTCTCAGTTAATAGAATGGACTTTTGAAATGTTGCACTAAAGAAATTGTTACAGTTATTGTAGTTCAGCTTTATTTCAAGAAAGCAAGCATGCCATTGGATTGAAAATGGCGAATAACATTGGAAAATAAAAGAATCATTGAACGAGAATTAACTCACTAACCCAGCTTATTTTTAATACTCTAGATATAGATTCTCCAAAAGAATGACATACTTCCCTAGTTTACATAGGAATGGACTAAGGTGTGTTTGGTGAGGGGTCATTTTTGTGGCTTACAACTCTGGAGAGTTATTTTTGCAGCCTGTGGAGCCAGACTGGAGAAATAAAGCTGAAGGTGCTTTGATGTCTAAATTCCATTGATAACTTTTAAGCAAAAAATAACAGTAGAGTGAGCTGTGGAAATAGTAGTGGAAGAGAGGGGATGTTTCAAGAAAAATATTCACACAATTATTTAGCATTGAGCTGATCAAACAAAACAAGATTGTGAGCCATTTTCTTCTATGAAAGAAAAAAGGATGTTTGCATTATTAATTTTTCTTTTCAACTGAGTCCAAGTATGAAGAGTCTAAGGTTGGCTGAATCTTCCTGTCATTCTCCTTCGGAGAAAGTTTCAGTGAGGAATTAAGAAAACCAACAGTAGGGAAAGGAAGCTATTTTAATAGGAATGTGGAAAGCTAGGGAGAAGGAGACAAGAATATAAAACAAAGTCGAAAAGGGAAATACCTCCAAAAATCTAAATTTCTTCTTCTTTGCTAGCCATTTCCACCTCTGACTCAACTCTGGTAAATTAAATGCAGTGGTTTTTAACCAAGCAGAAGCATTGGAACTACTCATGGAGCTCTGGCACCACACAGCTGCCACGATGCCACCCCAGGCTTTCTAAATCAGAATCTCTGGAGGTGGGACATGGGCATGGGTCATTTTAAAATATGTTTCATCAGTTGTTCTGAAACATACTACTTTTTTAGTGTGATCCCCATTTACCCCAGGCCTCACCATCCTGTGCTTACAAACAGAACCACAATACCGCATAGCTCAATCTCATGACCCTATGTATAATTGCAGAGTCTCATTTATATATTTCTGTAGTCCCCAAATACATAGAACAGAGTTGGCAAGCACTCCTCCCAGATCTTTCTGCCTGGCATCTCTTGTGGAGGGCTAGCAGAGACACTTGAGAGTGATTCTTAACATTAGCTCCCTGTTCATAGTACCAACACCTATCCTGGTGCAAACCTAAAGTGCAAACCCTCAAGCTGAAACAACATTTATCATTTCAGAACCAGGCTGTGTTATCCCCAGATACAGTGAAAATGGTGCTCTTCCCTAACCTGTATCCTGCTTCATCACTTTGGCCCCTTAGCCACATGATAGGTGCCTCTGTGCCTGGGAAAAAGGAATCTTCAGTGTCCTCCTGCAGCCCCTGCCTCCATCTAGGTTCAGACCGAGACCATAAGACCCATCAGTAAAAGAGACAGCCTCTTGTCCATTTATATCCTTTTACATCTCTACCCCCACACACCCTTTTATTTGAAGACACTTTCCTACTATGTAAATTATTTCACTCAAATCACCTCTTTGAACTTTTAGATGCACCTTTTAAGCAAACACACACCAAAATTTAAAATCCCAGTTTAAATTGAGGTGATATCCTTATTACACATCATTCTTCTAAAATAATACCCTTTCAGCTGGGCGTGGTGGCTCATGCCTGTAATCCCAGCATTTTGGGAGGCCAAGGCGGGCGGATCACGAGGTCAGGATCGAGACCATCCTGGCGAACACTGTGAAACCCTGTCTCTACTAAAAATAAAAAAAAATTAAAAAAATAAAAAAAAATTAGCCTGACGTGGTGGCAGGCACCTGTAGTCCCAGCTACTCGGGAGGCTGAGGCAGGAGAATGGCGTGAACCCAGGGGGTGGAGCTTGCAGTGAGCCAAGATAGTGCCACTGCATTCCAGCCTGGGCAACAGAGCAAGACTCTGTCTCAAAAAAAAAAAAAAAAAAGAAAGAAAAAAAGAAAATAATACCCTTTCTTTCAATCTACCAAAATCTAGCTAAGTCCAAGGGGATCACATGTGTCAGGTTCAAGCCCCAGCTGAGGTCTGAGGGGAGTAGGTGGATGCGGCACAGTGAGCTAGAAGAACAGTGGAGAGACAGCAGGTAGATGAGACATGACTTTATTCAGCAGGTCCTTCACAGTGTCAGTGTTACATTTATACACCTTACAAAGCATAGTGGCTGAGAACCAGGTGATGAGCTTCTCTATGCTATGTCTACATAGCTGTGATTATATAAAGCATGGAAATGTGCACCTGCACTCCAATCCTGCTGAGTCATGCAGGATGTTTACCTCTGCCTATGCCTGCCTGGCTGCAGCAAAGCCTTGTTCCTTACAACATGGTCTTAGATCAAGTGAGTTGATAAATGTCAACCTCTATAGTTATCCAGAAAATGCAGTTAGCATCTTCATTTTCAAACTCAAGGCTCAAGAACCCTTGGGATTGCCACATGGATAAGGGGAGAAAAAAGGGGTTGAGTGGGCATTTGATAGAATATGTATTCTCAGATCTACAATCCAAAAAAAAAAAAAAAAAAGAAACCTATTTGAAAAACTCCCTGTATCATGGCAGCAGTTCACAATCTCCTTCCCCATCCTTTGCTCCCTGCCTCATTTCCACTTCCCAAATCCTCTTGTTAGGATTTTTCATCTTTGCAAATGACTCCACCATTCAGCCAGTTCTTCAAATCAAACACTGGTTGTCAAATTTGGCTCTTTTGTCTCTTTCTCCTCTCCTCCAACAACAAATCTATAACCACGTCCCATCAGTTCTATACTCTAAATTTCTACTGATTTTATTTCTTTCTCTTCATCTCGACTGACTCTAATCCAGGCTGACATCATGACTTGCTGAGACTAATGCAATAAGCCACAGCTAATTTTCTGATATCTACATGTATACCCTGAAAATGTTTTATCTGGTACAATCAGGGCAATTTTTAAAAATATCTGCTTCTTCTGCCCTTAAAAATTTTTAAATCTTCCTAAATCCTCTGAATGTCAGAGTTTTCAACTATAAGTTGGGGATAATGATTCCTAAATTGATGGTTATTGTAAGAATTTGAAAGATTGTAAAATATATGCATAGAGAATGTGTATATAAAAAGCCTAATGCTGTACTTCACTTGGCATATGTCAGAAAGTATTATGCTTATCTTTTTTCTTTCTAAGGCAGCCGAGGACATGGGACTCAACGGAGAAACAAAGTTCATTTTAGCTCTAAACTTCTATGATTCTATGTCACGCAAAGAAGCTGGGATGTACCTAAATTTTAAATTTGATGTCATTTTTTTGTTGTTGTTTTTCCATTGGTAATAAAATTCGGAACCAGAGGGACACAAATATGATTCATATCAGGTTACGTCAAAGGTGATAAAAGTCACACTTGTCTTCATACCTTGCTCTGCCAGCCCCAGTTCTGTCATCTTTTGTTCTGCTGGCTCATGGGTTGCTGATGGATTGTTCAGGCTGAGGGGTCAAAAGAAGAGAGTCAGAGTTTCAATTAAGTCACCTTAAAACAAATTCACATAAGAGATTTCATATAAGCACCTCTCATCTCATCTGTGCCTCACTTTTGCTTTTTATTTCTTTTTTTTTATTATTATTATTATACTTTAAGTTCTAGGGTACATGTGCATAACGTGCAGGTTTGTTACATATGTATACTTGTGTCATGTTGGTGTGCTGCACCCATCAACTCGTCGGCACCCATCAGCTCATCATTTACATCAGGTATAACTCCCAATGCAATCCTTCCCTCCTCCCCACTCCCCATAATAGGCCCCAGTGTGTGATGTTCCCCTTCCCGAGTCCAAGTGATCTCTGGTGGCTAATGCCTGTAATCCCAGCACTTTGGGAGACCAAGGCAGGTGGATCACCTGAGGTCAGGAGTTCGAGACCAGCCTGGCAAACATGGCAAAACCCCACCTCTACTAAAAATACAAAAATCAGCTGACGGTGGTGGCAGGCCCCTGTAATCCCAGCTACTTGGGGGGCTGAGGCAGGAGAATTGCTTGAACCCAGGAGGCAGAGGTTGCAGTGAGCCAAGAGCTTACCATTGCACTCCAGCCTGGGCAACAAGAGAGAGATTCCATCTCAAAAATAAAATTAAGTTAAATTAAAAAGTAAGGTAAGCATGTTTGAAAGTAATATTCATTTTTATCACTCATTTTGATACTATTCTTTATAAAAGTAATCATAAAATTATTTCCTAATTGAGATATTAATATATAAAATTTTATGTAGTGAAAAACTACTTTCTACATAAATCTGACTTAGCTATAGATTTAACGTTAAGCAAAGGCATTGCCTATTCTTGAGACTACCAGCTATGCCTAATAACATAACCACAAACATGTGCAGAACAATTATACTGTTTAAAATGCTTTCATATACATTACCATTTATGATTTAACCAAATATAGTTATGGACTTCAGTATATTCTTTTGAATTGGTCAAAATGTAGAAAACACCCCAAAACTATATTCATATCTCAAGTAACTCTTATTAGCATTTTGCTGATAAATAGAGCATTTTACCAGAACAATAAACATAGGTTTTAAACAAATATATAAGAAAAATGATTTCTCATTTGAAGATAAAAATGCACATACCATGGCTAATATGAATCTTATTTCATTCACCATTTTAAATATATAAAATACAACCTGCACTATAACCTGAATGGGGTCACCCAGGGCACTGGCCAGATAGCACAAGGCTTGGGGACTAGAGCCTGACATGTTAAAACCAGGTTAGGAATTCCGCAAGAAGGAGCCAAAACTCAGAAAGGAAATGGAAGGTCCAAATCGTTGGTCTTAAAAAGCATGAAAAGTCATGGTTGTAGAAACCAAGTATGAACAGCAGAACCAAAGCCTGGATCAGAGCTGGCAATGAGAATATAATCCAAGGGGCAAATAATAGGTAGAAGTGGACTGGAATGGGAGCATGCAGAAAGTCCTGGGATTACTGGGTATGGAATTAGAGTGTGAGTTGTACACCTTCATCATTCAGCTGGTACCAAGGCATGAGGGTAGGGTAGCCCTTACTTAAAGATGCATGTAGGAGAAGAGAGATAATATAGACCAAGTCTTTTTTTTTTTTTTTTTTTTTTTTTTTTTTGAGGCGGAGTCTCGCTCTGTCACCCAGGCTGGAGTGCAGTGGCCGGATCTCAGCTCACTGCAAGCTCCGCCTCCCGGGTTCACGCCATTCTCCTGCCCCAGCCTCCGGAGTAGCTGGGACTACAGGCGCCCGCCACCTCTCCCGGCTACTTTTTTGTATTTTTTTAGTAGAGACGGGGTTTCATCGTGTTAGCCAGGATGGTCTCGATTTCACGACCTCGTGATCCGCCCGTCTCGGCCTCCCAAAGTGCTGGGATTACAGGCTTGAGCCACCGCGCCCGGCCTAGACCAAGTCTTGTTAATTTTAACTATATACCTCGTTATGTTGTTGTTAAAATGCAATTCTAAGAGATTTTCTTTTCTTTCTTTTTCATTTTTCCTTTTTTTTTCTTCTTGATACATGGTCTTTTTGATACACTCTGTCACCCAGGCTGATCATAGCTCACTGTTACCTCAAACTCCTAGGCTTAAGCAATCCTCCCACATCAGTCTCCCAAGCAGCTGATACTACAGACATGTGCCACCACACCTGGTTAATTTTTTGTAGAGATGGGGTCTTGTTATATTGCCCAGGCTGGGAGATTTGATTTCTTATCCAGAATGTTTTAGAGTAGTCATGCAATTGCTGACTGCTTCTTATTGATCTGAAATACTCAAACTAAGATTTTTAGGAATCACATTCTGTAATTAATATTTATAAGTGGTTGGGCTCAGTGGCTCACACCTGTAATCCCAGCACTTTAGAGGGCAGAGGCAGGCGGGTTGCCGTAGGTCAGGAGTTTGAGATCAGCCTGGCTAACATAGTGAAACCTGGTCTCTACTAAAAACACTAAAATTAGCTGGGCGTGGTGGGGCATGCCCGTAGTCCCAGCTACTCGGGAGGCTGAGGCAGGAGAATTGCTTCAACCCAAGAGGCAGAGGTTGTAGTGAGCCGAGACTGTGCCACTGCACTCCAGCCTGGGCAACAGAGCAAGACTCTGTCTCAAAAAAAAAAAAAAAAAAAAGTAAGTAATTATATATAAGTACTTAGAATGATTATTAAATATATACTAAATTAAAAGAAAATTATTTACATGTCATTTTGAAGACACTGAAACTTAAATTCTTCATTTTGATAGACAAGAAGAAAAAAGTATTTTATAAAAGCAGCAGACCTAGCAGTTTGACTGGCAAATGATAAATATTAAAAATTATTTGTTGATTGAACAGTGAACTATTTCTGATTTGTTGTGATTTAGAATAGGTCCTTTAAAAGTCTTATCACGGCACTTTTAGGAAGTAAAGAAATAATTACTACATTGTGATGTAACTTTTTGTTGTTGTTCTCCTTTTTACCTACATGTGTTGATATAATTTCAGCACAGCCATTTACATGATTCGGAAATCTGACTTTAATTATACACATAAGGTCTTCTGAAACTAAGAACTGTGCTTTATTGTCCCTCCTTTTAGTTCTCACAAAGGATGTTTCTGCCTTGTGTTACTTTTGATTTGTCAAACATACATTTTTCTGAAATATCAAACTGTGTTTTGTGAAGTTAAAGGAACATAACTCTCCTTTAGAGGATGTCAGTTGGTACAGGAAAAATGACATGGTAAAATGGCTGCTCAAAGGTAAGTTTTCAAAATGCGTATCTCTATTGACTCTGTGAATTAACTTGATCCACAAATCAAACTCCAGAACTAGTAGCAAGAAATAAACTGAAGGGCATGTAAAAGGAATAGAAACATGCTTAGATCTCAAGGGAAATTTTAGGAAAAATGTATAACACTACTAAGGGCCTGAAAAATCAAAAGCGGTACTTTACTGCAACTTGACACCAACGTGTGTCTTGAATTAAATATTTGAAATAGCATTGTTATTCAGAGGCAAGTATGTAGATGAAAAAGAAAAGGTAAAATTCCCCCAACTAGTACTAATACAGAAAGCCATTTTTCTTCTCCTTTATTCCTGACCCCATCCCACATAATAGAATTGACCTTCACTATTTATTGGCCCAGAAAGAGAAATCACACATTGCCCCAAAGGTTGACTTGCCAAGAGTAGGAAACAGTTATTCTGGGAATTAAAGAGCATTGATGAGTCTCTTGAAAACTGCACCTACACTTCTTGGTTCCCTTCTTTCAGCTCCTATTTTTCTATGCAAATCAGTGCAGAGAGTTTTTTCCTAGTTCCAGTGCAGCCGACAATGTGGCTGCTGTAGACATGAGCGACTGAGGGACATGGTGATGTTGATTCAATTAAAGTCTGATCATCAAGAATGAGTTCAGGGAGCTAGATTCTTCTGTGCCCAGAACAGTACTTATTTGCACTCTCCTCAGATGCTGCATTGGAAATTTAATGTAAGTTTTATGTATTTGTTTGTGAACTAGGGTGGTCAGATATCCTGTAAACGGTGAAAGTCTTAAAAAAAAAAAAAAAAAAAACTAGCCGTGCCGCTTGTACATCAGCTGAGCAGGATGCTGACAATTAGTAGATACACAGTAGAGAGATGTAAAAAAAAAAAAAAAAAAAAAAAAAAAAAAAAAAAAAAAAACAATAGTAGAGAGACAAATAGATCAAGTGAATTGTAGTAAAGCTTAGTTGAATCTTCAAACTAAAAAGATGGCATCACCATCAGCAAAAAAAATCTTCAGAATCAGCCTGAAACCTCACCCAAGGCAGAGGTACCCAGAGTGATTTTTAACATGGAAGCTTTAGAAATTGTCAGAAAAAAGACTTTTAGAGACTGTCTGCTTAGCTTCAACTGTCAAAAAAAAGGTGATGCTAACGTTATCTGTTTTCTTCCCTACCTCACTTCCATCTCCCACGACACACACATTCAAGAATAGGAATGGTCCCTACAACGCTTAACACCCTCTGGACAAGGTCAGTCAGTGGTCGTTCATTTATCTTCCTTCTGCTCTTTCCTCAGACCAGAGATTCAAGATTTGAACATATGTACACACTCGTTTGGCTAACAGTACAGCAAATTCCAGTACTCTAAGGATTAACTAGTCACTTTATTTCTTTTGGAAGGCTGTGCTATAACCGAAGCCCAACATTTTGTTTATCTTCCACTGTTTATCTTCCAAGGAGCATGCTCCAATGCACTCATCATGACAAAGTACCTGCTGTGGAAATGTATTTTAAGATTGTGAAATATGAAGGCTTTTTGGAGGAAGAGCAGTTATTATCTAATTTTAAAAAGTTTTGTTCCTTTGTAGAAGTGGACAATATATAAGTTTCTTAGAGATTTTAAACAAACTCAACTTTATTGAAGTAGCATTTCTAGTCCCTTTTTTGTGTATAAAGTTAAACAGATCCACCTTCATGGTAAATGGATATTTGAAACTAATAAATATAA